GCATCTAGCTTTCGTAACAACAACAAAAAGCAATAGTGTGCTTGAGCACTTGCGAAAATAAGAGCAACTTGTACAAAACATATTGCAAACAATATACGAATGTATTTCGCGTATACAAAACGTATAAAGCATAACGTATAATAAGCAAGAGTTGTTTGAACATTAACAACATATGCAAACAAATAGTGACGCAAACAAATGATTCACGGGTTACTGCCAGATTAAGGTGAATAAGGGAGCGCGATTTTCAACATCGAAAACGTCTGTCGTAAAGATCAGACTACATGCGTGACTGGGTCTTTGTTCACCACGTAAAATTGATACTTCCTACTGAACATGCCTAGAATAACGGCGACCGCCTCGATCAGAATATTGAACGGAATGACAAAGATGGCGGCAACAGAGAAAAACAACAGTTTCCACGGCCGATGACTGTACTTTTTGTGGAAAGACTTAAATACGCCGAATATGTACAAGTACAGGTTTGCACCTCCAACGTATGCCAGGAGAAAGTCGAACACCGGCATTGGCGGCAGAGGCAGTAAATATCCTAAGAATAGGTTCATGAGTGTCAACGGCATCGTCAGCCACGCGTAAAACGACATGGCAAGAAATATCTTCTTCCGCCAAGCTAGTTCTGAACTGTGCACAACTAAGTGAATGCCCTGAATCCAGCGCTTGCGCTGTTGTAGAAAGTCAGACACGGTGAACGGTGACCGTTCGTGCATTTCGCCTTCGATGAAGTTGAACGAGAAGCCGTCTTGGTAGGCGGCAATGGAGAAATAGCAGTCTTCGGCCACCGAACCGTTTGGACCGTGGTCAAACGACACCCGTCGCTCAGCACCGACTTGGGTAACGACAAACGATCCTTTCCAGCCGAACAGAGGACGGTGGAGAGCGTACAGCTGAAATCGAAGCTTGCCTAAAACAACGTGACACCATGTTACTCATGTGCAATTTTATCGATACTCAAATTGCAGTATATGTCAAAACAATTATTTTCGCTTGCATCGAAACCTCTGATTAGTGAAATTAATCTCCTATCACAAGGCATGACACAGATACATTGACTGTAAAATGAATGGTTACATTGTAGGCTTCGTAAACCTAGTGACCGAAGCTTTTGCACTGACACGTAGCCATTTAATAACGTTATTTTCTTGCTCAGGCCAAGAGAGAATCTTAGAGTTTGCACTGGAGTCAAATCGTACCCATCTGTAACGCCTAACAGTTTCAGTTTTCTTACGAAAAAGACGGCTAATATTTCTATTCCGGACTTTCAGGTTTAACGGTCACTGTCATTCGTCGGAGAACGTAATTTTATTGGTCGTTACGCCACCCTCCCATGTGTGTTCGACAAATTCAAAATCGGTACATAGGTAGCACAGAAATGGGCCGAGAGAAAGCAACGGATCGATGCCTGTGCAAATGACTGCACAAGTCTTCTGTTTGCCAGTGTATCCGGAAACGGCCATCTAAGGGGACAATGGATTCACAAGTTCAAAGATCCCTGAGCTTACAAGGATAAGTATGGCTGTAGGGCAAATACAGAAATAACAGACTTCTTGAAAATGTAACTGGCAGTACTAAAAAGAAACAGAAAAACGGACTCGACATTCTCAACAAGCTTTTCATGGAAAGACCTGCTACTCGCATTTCAACTGATTCTTGAGAGTACGCGAATTTTTATTCAAAATTTAATTACCATCAGAAATACGAGATGCTGAGGGGATCTTCGACTAGTGTGGTACTCGCGACTTGTATATGGACCATGTGGCAACACAGAAACATAAGACCTGTGGCGGACATATTATTAGAGATGTTTCCTCTGCATATTTGAAGATGTAAAAGTTGTGCGTCAGTCAGATCCGGTAGACTGACGCGGCGCTGCTGCTCACCATTCGTAGCTTATTCGACCATAGATATACTTTGCGATCAAAATCTCACAAAGTGCTAAACTTTTATGCCTCGTTGGGAGAGACTTCACGAGAGTTTGCACTCGAAATGAACTGCCAAACAATTACTCACCAAAACAGGCTCAAACATAAACGAAAACCTGGAGAACAAACGCAGACAACTGTGTCACCTGAACAACACCTACGATTGGCAAAAAGAATTCGGAACCTCATTAGGATCTTCGCTGGTTAGCCATCATGCAAGAGCGCTATCGATATACTCATCTACAGATGTCTATATGAAAAAACTGAGAAGATCAAGCCGACTTCATCTGAATATCTGAGATTGGAAGATCCACTGAATTTGTTACGCAATAATAATTACCCCCCCCCCGCCACCCCGGGGAAATCTCAGAAAACCGATCTCACACCGGCGGCGTTCGGTTCATAATAAAATAGAATTCGGTACCATTTGTACTAAACTGAGATGTTATACCGTCTTGCATAGCAATTCTATCCTACAAATAGGCATTTAGAATAATCTAAACCTACAGCCGAAAGCAATAAGCCGAAAGTGATTAGATCGAGCAATTCTACGATTTGGAAGGCTCAGTCGATCGGGGTGAAGGGCAAACAAACCTTCATTACAATTCATCTGGCGAATGTGAACTGTAGCCATAAAAATTTGTCAAGATCGAATAAATGGAAGTAATAAACAAAGTTTATTTATTAACCCAGTTTCCTACATACTGCAGCACAAACTGGATTACGGTAAACTACATCGTACGACTGACGGATAAGGGATGGATTTCAGCAGTGGTACTGAAAGATGCCTAAGAGCCCAACTGAAAGACCTCGACTCAAATGCAATGCTGAGGTAAACGGAGAGACACAGAAGGTTGTGATTTACAAAGTGGACACTGATACTTGGCAATGTCGACTGCCGTTAACTGCGAAGAAGCATTGGTAATGAAATTCTATTGTACTTATGAGAAAGCCGATTTCTTTGTGATTTGGCCTCGATAGTGCTCAAACACACTTTGATCTCACCGAAACGAATCCCAGCCAGATCTGCGATATTATCAACAAGTTATCGGTTCCTATCACTGCTTGACGGTAATTCGCCACAGAAATGATTTAATCTACGAAATATATACGTTATTATTATTTTTTTTATACTGGAAAGCTCAGATAAAGTGGCCTTGGCTTTATGGCATCGTATGCGGCGATGTGTTTACTTACTTCTACACTGTAACCTGTCTGCCTACTTCTACACTTTGTCATACACCAGTTAAGTGATTCAGCAACAACCAAAACTTTTCACCGTAAAACTATCATTAAGAGAGCAATCGCTTATCTGATTAAAAAACGCTACGGCAACTGAAATTAAATAGTCTATCTCGTATATTTACGATTCACACTGGAGAATCGTGGCAACACGTACAGAAAGGAAAGTAATGAATTTCGTATCACAACGCTTTGTCAACGAATCAGCTGCAACAATCGCCTTAAAAACAATCTTCCTGATTATCATCGTTATCCTAACTTTCAATACGTTAGACGAAACAGTTTCGTAACGTCTGCGAGGTGTTCTTCGGTTACCTATTGCCGCTCCTGATATTGGAACGGTCCTCAAGGTCATTACACAGACTATCTTTTTAATGTATGCGTTGTCACGTTTGAATTATGATTGTAATATAACAATTTTTGAATGGCTTCTCTCAGGCAACTCCTTCAAGGCCAGATTTAAGAGCATATTGCACAGATTTTGCTCCTACCTGCCTAAGAAGGGGAGGCGGCATTTAACCAGATCACGACCCAGAGATATTTGAGCATCTTCCGTGTCAAATGAATATGTATTAATATCTTCGCTACAGTCTCTTGATTCATCGTCAACGATGTTTCGACAGATGGTCCTCTTAGTAAGGCACCGTATAAACATCACTGTTTCTAGTTATGCGTATATAAATTTTTTTCAGCTGAACCGTCATTAATCCAGTACATTGTGCATATTTCAGGCAGATCTGCAGTGACAAATGACAGAAGAAATTTTCACGGCTGTCGACAGATTCGCGGAAACGTCGCAAGACGTCACAATGGAACAAAGTGCACCAAGCAACATATCATTGGCGGTATATAGGTGTAAACGTGAGCGAGCTGCAGCATGAATCGACCACCGAATCAAGTCATGCTATGTATTTACTTAAACGAACCTTAATTCGCGAATACCAGGTCTATCAAAGCGGGAGAAAAGGAACAGATAGAGTGTAGAGACCGGGATACCAGTATGCAACATGGAAGAGAAAGGTAGATCTGTTTTATGAACGGAAGTGATCGTTGTACGCTGCAGTATCCAGTGACTGATTGTGAAATTATTCAATATTATTCAATGGGACACAAGCTAGATGCACGTTCTGCATATGCAAATGGTTCAAGGTGATGATCAGGCACGGTACAAAAACTCAGTTTACATACGATTAAACAAAAAGATTATGAAAAAGAGTTGGCCGTAAAGATTAAACAAACCGGCTGAGCATCAACCATGTTTATTCATGCAGAGAAGCTGGTCACACGGAAGTCGAGATATGGCAGACATCGATCGGGATACCAGCATGCAACATAGTAGATGGTAGTTAGTGGATGTGCTTTCAGACAGGGCTCGTTCCATCTACCACGCAATAACAGATACTTTGCAACTAAGGACTTACGTCGCGACTGTGAACACGACGGATATCGTATAAATCGTTACGGGTACGCTCTGGTCACGCAAACAGCCCAGTGATATTATGCCAACACAAACACGGACACATCGAAAGCAAAAACTCTAAGCTGTACCGTCGGATCACAAAAAAGACAACAGCGAATATGCGTCTATCCGCAGGCTTAAACAGCAGAAACAAACCCCCGTTTGCGAGAGGAGAGGGGCATATTCGTTGGTGTTCGATACAACGAAGTGGTGAACGGTTTTGCGCCAATGCATTGCAGATGCCATAATGGAGCCGTGGCTCGCTTAAATAATCGCCTAGGCTACTAGAGAAGC